CCGGTGTCCTGAAGAGTTTAGCTCCAACCCCAATTAAACACACCTGAACCAGCTAATCAAGCTCTTACTAGGCATACTAGAAACTTGAAGGCAGGTGTGTTGAGGCAAGTTGGAGCTAAACTCTGCAGGACACCGGCCCTCCAGGACCGAGTTTGGGCACCCCTGCTATATATTAAACACTGTTCTTTAAAGGGACATTTTGTTTTATTTCTATTTTTCTTGAAGTATTGGGCATATTTTATAAGATTTTAACTTTGTGCATTTTTGGGGAAACTCATTCCTTGCAGCTGTTTTGTGCAAGGGGTGTTTTATTTATTTATTTAACATTTATTATGTTAGTGTGCATGGTATGGTTATGACATAATGATTTTGCATAACCTTTCAAAAGTAAGATAACTGGTTAAAAATAGTGTAGCATTTGTCTATGTATTTCCTTTCCTTTTTGATTTATTTCTTTAAAAGCATCTCAGGATCAGTGTCAAACCACAGCTCAGAATATGGGTGGAAGTGTGGTTAATTCTATTGTAGCACAGCAGAGGGCAGAACTGAAGTCCTTTTTGTCTTCACGTGGGAACTGTTGGGTGCACTAGCCACAGAGGTCATGATTAAGGTTATTTTTAGGATTTTGATGATAGGAAAGTGTCAGATGAACAACACTGGTCAGTTGAAGTTCAATGCTTGTAATTATGATTAATACATAGCTGTCAATTATGTGTTCCGATTTTTATTTATTTTTTTATATGAAAATGCAGAATTATTTAGTGGTCTTATGATATATGAAACATTACACAATTATTTAGTGGTCTTATGATGATTAAACTGGCAGATGATGACAATTTTGCACCAGCTTGTTTTGAATAGTTTTTGAATTATTATTTAGTAAGTTCAAAACTGTTGTCATTGGTATTGTTGTCCATGCATTGTGTACTTATACATTTTTTTTAGTTTCTGATTTAGAAGCTGCTCAGTTTTACAGCCCACAGCTGACCACCAGCAGAACCATGGTCGTCTTGACAACTCCATTTAGTAAAATAACAGACCTCAAAATTTGGAAGCGTCTCTTTAAATCAGTTCCTAACGCTCTTTCCCAAACCAATAGAGAAGACTGCATTGTGGTGTGCATGTTTACTTATTTTGATGCCAATATTGGTTGGCCTATCAAAATTTAAGCATTCCATTCTAAAAATAGTGTTTGTTTGTGTGTTTTTGTGTGTGTATGTTTTTTATTCAGTGAAAAGCACTTGCTTATGTGGGTCAAAAGAGTGTGTTTGTTTTCTTATTTGTATTTGTGTTCCTTATTTTTCAGATCTCTTACTGAAAAAATACTGAGACAATATTATTTATTTTTTCATTTTAAAGTTATATTTTTGAGCTTTTACCTTCTGGTATATTTGCACACAACAGAGAATATGTTTAAATTTTATGTGTGACTAGGAATGTGTTTAGCCAAGTTAACGTCACATTGCACTGAGGATTATTTCAGCATCTTTGCACGATGTTGTGTTGTTTTTGGGTATGTTTTAATCACAGTGTTCTGCCATAAATAACAATATGCGAGTTTTATGATTAACCACCTTCTGGTGCTGCTCGCTTGGTGGTCAAAAATGACCTTTTTTAAAAAAGAATTATTTCAAATACATGAATACTGTATTTTAGTTTGATAATTCATTAAATCATTGAGTGATTATTCAAATACTAATTAAAATGTATCCATTTTCTGTGTAATTGTAGCCACCTGACTAGTGGATGGTGTGTGAAATTACACAAAAACTGGAAGACTGTCCAAATGTATGTAAATGGTAGGTTCTTTTAGAAAGGAAAATGTCAAAGAAAAAACAAAATGTATATGGAAACGTCAGTAATGAAAACTGATTGTCTGTAAACAGGATCAAGTATATGTATGTGCACACACACGTAACATACATAAACCACCACTTCACAGTCTTAATTGCCTGATGTCTGAAGAGTTGGTTGTGTGTGTGTGTGTGTGTGTGTGTGTGTGTGTGTGTGTGTGTGTGTGGTTCATTGCTGTTGTTTTATGTTTTTTACATGCTGTAAACTTATTTTTGGTTTCATTCACTGTTACATATGTTTGAATGTTTGTTATTCTGATCTGTTTTAGTGATTCATCATGATTATCATAAATACTCAGAAATTGACACAATACAATTTCTGCTACAGCATTTGAATATCATATATTTCTCATTAAATCAGTTTAATGTCTGTAATACAGTTAGACTGTCCCTGCTGAGTAGTTTTTAATTTATTAGATAAAAGCTCTTAAGGGTTATAAGTCAAAACGTTGACTGTGTCTTTATCGGTCACAACAAGCTGTGAATTATCGGTATCGGCCCTGAAATTCTATATCGGTGTACCCCTAATCAAAAGTGACACAGAAGATTTCCTACATATTAATACCATAACTTTGACAGTCTAATCTCTTACTTTGTGTCTGATTCAAGAACCAGAAGCAAACCAGACAGTGTTCCCATAATGAGTTCTGCTGGGGTTTTACCCAGAGCCCTCAGGAGTTTGGGTTTTGCTGTCTAGTGAGGTAATCGGCCTCCTCTCTGATGTGGTCTTCCGCCGAGCTTCTGTCTTGAGTGGAGAGGTGGTGCTGGAAAAAACTTAACGCTCATTTACAGAGCGCCTATATATAGTAAAATACACTACTGTCACTTTCCATATGTGATACCATGTTTGCTACGTTGAAGATTTGTTTGTTTAATCCCATTTTCTAACTATAGCTATCACTCCTGAATTATAGAACAAAACCAAAAAAGGCCTCAAACCAGTAGATTGCGCATATATAAGTGTCTCATATTAAATGATCTCATAGGCCATCTGTTACAATCACTGACTATGTTGTACTGCCCATTTTCGCAGAAAATAAAAAGATGAGCTCATGATTTCAACATTCACAAAGCACAAAAAGTCAGTAAAGCACAAGGATGATTTATCTGCATAATATTAATACAAATCATTGTACTGTATGATTTATGAATATGTGTAGTTGTCTTATGTTATATCTAGTACGTGGAAAAACTGTGCATGTTTTTTGTCAACATGGTTAAAGTAGAAGCCATGGTAATATAGTATCTTGTTGGTACAGTACCTGTAGATCAGAAGTAAAAGGGCACACCTGGCACTAGGCCCCATCGCCCAACATCACCAATGCTCTTTATGAATGGGGGAAGAAAATTTGTTATAGGAGTAAAGACAGGACAAATAAAAAATGACTGTTCAGGTGTTATATATTATTGGCTATTA